TGGGGGAGATTTGGGAAAAATTTGGGAATAAATTTGGGAAGAAAATTTTGGGAATAAATTTGGGAATAAAATTGGGAATAAAATTGGGACAAATTTAAGGATAAATTTGGGAATAAAGATGGGAAAAATTTGGGGAAAAAATCGGGAAAACTTGGGGAAAAATTTGGGAAAAATCTGGGGGAAATTTGGGAAAAATTGGGGAAAAACTGGGAAAAATTTGGGATTTTCCTTGGAAAAAATGGGGTAAATGTGGATAAAAAAACAATGTGAAAATTGATAAAATATTAGAAATAAATGGATTTATTTGGGATTTTTCCCGAGTTTTTATAAATATTCACATTTTCCTTTATTATTTACATTCTCAACAGACGCTGAGAGGCCTCAAATGGCAAAGAAAGGGTTAAAGAATTCCAATTTCTGGAAAAAAAAAAWTTTAAATTAAAGCGAATTTTCCTTCTTTTGATAATTAATTAAAACAATTAAAAATCGTTTAAAATAAAAAAAAAATTAAATTGATGCCTTTGGTGGGAATTCTTAATTTGGCTAAAAAGCAAAAATAATGAAAATTTGGGGGTTTTAAATTTAAATTTTTAATTTTTTTTTTTTGCCATTTGACCCTTCCAGGCCCTGAAAAAAAGTGCAGAGTGCGACAGACACCAAACCCGAGCACAAAAAAAAAGAAATTTTTAAATAAAATTTACATTTTAAAAATAAAAATTGGATCTTTTCACCCAGAAATTTGACATTTATAAATAAAATTTGCCACTTTAACCAAAAAATTGACATTTAGAAATGAAATTTGACATTTGAACAATAAAATTTGACATTTTAACCAAGAAATTTGACCTTTTCACCCAGAAATTTGACATTTATAAATAAAATTTGCCATTTGAAGCAAGACAATTGACATTTGAACCAAGAAATTCAACATTTAAAAATAAAATTCAACATTTGAACCAGGAAATTTGACATTTCAAAATAAAATTTTGACATTTGAACCATGAAACCTGAGGGTTTCAACCTGAGGGGTTGAAATTTCCCAACGGAATTCTCCTCAGGAATCCGAATCCGTGTTTTACAGCTTTCCAGGGTTAATTAACCCCTCATTAACG